CTCAACTGTCTTCGACATGTTAATAGCTTTCTTCCCTCCGGCTTTCATGCCAGCAATTATAGCATCTCTATAGGCTTTAAGTTGAGCCATATCTGCGCCATTTACATTCCAGTCAGGATCGGTGTTAGGGTAATGTGTTGCGGCCCATGCTGCCGGATTGGCTTGATTTAAAGCACGGGCTCTCTCCTCTAGCGCCTTAATGGCCGCTTGGTTAATCCTTGTCCTTTCCTCATTATTGAACAATGTCATTAATAACTGCTGGCAATCAGCCCATGTCGGGTTATGTGTCTGAACTATCGAGGTGAACAGATCGGTCATAGCTTGTGGTTTCTCAGTGTACGAGGAATTGTGGGTCTTCCAATTCAAGAGATCGGTAGTCGTGAACGGGACATATACGAAGACTGGGTCAGCATGTGCCATTTGACCTGCGGCATCGATATAGGCTGACCCAGGATTCAGACGAAGAGGCATCTGATAATGTTTTAATTGTTGGGTACCGGTCAGTTGTCGGGTTAGTATGGGGCTACGTGGAGGGGCGTCAGTTAAAGGTTCCGGTCGAGAGGTAATAGGGCATGAGGATGTGGGAACTTGATTTTGGGAAAAGTTAGTGAATAGTATACTCCGAGCCGAGCTAGAAGAAGCTTGACCGGAAGTTTGAAGTGGCGCCAAATCAGGATATTCAGATCTAATGGGGGTTGGTCCTGGTTCCGGAAGGGGAGTTTTAATACGAGGGGGGGTGGATTCTGTACTGGAGGAGGAAGCGGAAGTGGATGGGGGCAATAGGGGAAGGGGTGCAGAGCTTCCTGCATTCGCGTCACTTCCTCTTAAAGGAAAGTAAGGGGGCGGCAAAGGGATCTCGGACTCAGGGGGCGTGTCCAAAATGGGCCTAACACCAGTCCTAGTGGACAAACAAGTCCTGGCCACCATGAGGCGACATTGCTCCTCGTGGCATATCCGGATCCATTTTGGCGAGTCGTTTACGGCCTGCCCCCAACAATCAATGTATGGAAACTGTCCGTAAAGTTCAGGCCTACCTGATACAGCCACGTGTACACGCTGTACCAGGGTTGGATCCAAACTGCCACGCGGCGGCCATGCCGCAACCAAAATAGGCCACTCCCTAGTGCACAAAGTGACCAAACGTACAGGAGACATTTTAACCCCAAAATCACATGTTTTGAATCCCTTTTTAAAATTCTTTACCATACAACCTAAGGGATCCGAAATCGTTGACTCTGACGCGCCCATACTTATCAATGGAACGTCGTTGACAACGAATACTATGCACGCGTTCTTATTCAACAGTCACACCCGTTTCCTCTGGCAACAGCACCACGTGGTACAGTTACCGAGTGAAACGTACACAATAACACAATAATCACTCAGGGAATTCCCGTACACACACAGCTGTTACACCAGTCACTAAATAATCAATATTATGCCCTTTGGCGAAACTATACAGTCACCCACGCTATAATTCTCTATATATGAATTACCCGTCTATAACACACCCCAGTAACATCGTCTTTTACTAGTATCGGTTACAGTACGGTTAGCATAGGTCAAAGCACAATTTAAGGTCACAATACAATTATTAGTGGTTACGGTGTTAAACATGCAATAGACGACAATGATTAGTACTTATATACAGTGTCAGTAAATATACAGGGTTATGGTACCGTGCACTATGATACAGCAACACACTATTAACACTCTCGCTAGACGGCTGAGCTCGCGCTATCTAACAAGATATACACTTTACTAACAATCTTTAACACATTTACAATCCCAACTAAACTATTGGCCAGTACCTTGAATGGACTACCTAAAACTATATACACCCGTTTTGGTTAGCCACACTGCCCAAACACCACATATAGCGAACTAGAGGGCGAAATTTACAAAGTTGCCCTTCTAGTCTATTTACTCTATCAAAAGTCTAGTGGGTTCCAAATTTACACGCCTTCCCACTTAGCCAAGATAGGTTGAGAGCTAGCGAACCGAATTTACACAGGCGCCGCTTAGTCTCCCGGTCCCTCCGACCTAGCGAACGTAATATACACCCTAGAACGCTAGTCTAGACAAGACACCGGTGTCCGGCTAGGGCTATTTACACAGGACCCCGCCTGACTAACCAGATCAAACGGTCTTACTAAAGAGCGTTCGATCGAGCGGTGCGCCTTCGCTCCTTCCCTCCGACAGAGGGGGCAGATTCCATACACAGATTTAAACCCCTTTTGGGCCTACCGCACAATCGGTATACCCCTAGTGGGTCTGCCGTCTAAAACAGCAGTTGTCTTACCTCCTCGTTCCTGAACCTGAGTTCACACTCATCGACGGGGACACCCCAGCACTTCTTACGTAGAGGCCGATGATCTCCTGGACAACAGACCAGTGGCGCCGAGACGAAGGGAGGTCCACGCAGAAGTTCAGGGGTGCAGCCGTAGAGAACGTGGGCAAAGATAGACCGTCTCACGCCTCTGCCTCTCAGCTACCGTTGAACGATGAGCTTCCCGGCCAATGCACCAAATGATACCGGAGAAACTGACGGAAGCAAAGCACAGAGGGATGGACACAGGTTTCTTCAGGAAGGAAGAGATTCTTTATTGGATCACCGATCGGGACTCAGAGGGACTAATGTCACCAAAAATACAGCAAGTTCTGAGCCCTGAACAATAGTGCAGGCTCCCTATATAGGCACATAACTCCTCCCATATTAAGCTCCACCCGCACATTCTCTTGACCAATCATTACAAATAAGAATTAACTTCCTGCTTGACCGCATGGCTTGTCCAGCACAATGGAGGAGGGGAATACTACATCCTGTATTCTTGCACATGCTCCGTACACTACTGATCGTATCTTGCCTCGTGCAACCAACTGATCGATACGTCAGCATATGCACGTACACATACCACGTGGTAATCTCGGCCTACTAAATTTATTTTTACCGAGATTCCACCACACCACAATCTCAGTAAATTAGAATATTGTTAAAAGGTACAATATTCTAGGCTCACAGTGTCCCACTCTAATTACCTAAGTAAGGCATAACACCTGCAAAGGGTTTCTGAGCTTTTAAATGGTCTCTCAGTCTGGTTCAGTAGGAATCACAATCATGGGGAAGACTGCTGACCTGACAGTTGTGCAGAAAACCATAATTGACACCCTCCATAAGGAGGGAAAGCCTCAAAAGGTAATTGCAAAGGAAGTTGGATGTTCCCAAAGTGCTGTATCAAAGCACATTAATAGAAAGTTATGTGGAAGGTAAAAGTGTGGAAGAAAAAGGTGCACAAGCAGCAGGGATGACCGCAGCCTGGAGAGGATTGTAAGGAAAAGGCCTTTCAAATGTGTTGGGGACTTTCACAAGGAGTGGACTAAGGCTGGAGTCAGTGCATCAAGAACCACCACACACAGACGTATCCTGAACATGGGCTTCAGATGTCTTATTCCTCGTGTCAAGCCTCTCCTGAACAACAAACAACGTCAGAAGCGTCTTACCTGGGCTGTTGCTCAGTGGTCCAAAGTCCTCTTTTCTGATGAGAGCAATGTTTGCATCTCATTTGGAAACCAAGGACCCAGAGTCTGGAGGAAGAATGGAGAGGCACACATTGCAAGATGCTTGAAGTCCAGTGTGATGTTTCCACAGTCTGTGTTGATTTGGAGAGCTATGTCATCTGCTGGTGTTGGTCCACTGTGCTTAATTAAGTCCAGGGTCAATGCAGCCGTCTACCAGGAGATTTTGGAGCACTTAATGCTTCCTTCCGCAGACAAGCTTTATGGGGATGCTGACTTCATTTTCCAGCAGGACTTGGCACCTGCCCACACTGCCAAAAGCACCAAAGCCTGGTTCAATGACTGTGGGATTACTGTGCTGGATTGGCCAGCAAACTCGTCTGACCTGAACCCCACAGAGAATCTATGGGGTATTGCCAAGAGAAAGATGAGACATGAGACCGAACAATGCAGAAGAGCTGAAGGCCGCTATTGAAGCATCCTGGTCTTCCATAACACCTCAGCAGTGCCACAGGCTGGTAGCTTCCATGCCACGCCACACTGAGGCAGTAATTGCTGCAAAAGGGCCCAAACCAAGGACTGGGTCCATATGCATGCTTATACTTTTCAGAGGTCCGATATTGTTCAGTCCTTGTTTTATTCATTGCATGTAATATTCTAATTTACTGAGATTGTGGATTTGGAGTTTTCATGAGCTGTAAGCCATAAACATCGCACTTATGATAAATCACAGCTTGAATTATCTTGCTTTGCATGTAATGCGTCTATCTCATATTAGTTTCCCCTTTTACGTTGCATTACTGAAATAAATGAACGTTTGCACGATATTCTAATTTTTCGAGTAGGAACTGTATATGTTGTCAGTCACTAAATGCTTTCTTTTTCTCCCCCTTAGAGTTTCCCACTCAGATTAGAGCATGAGGAATGAGTTAATGGTTCCCAAAGATTTATCCCAGCTGTTAAACCCTCCATGTCCTGACCTGAGAGGATTATTATATAATTAATAGTACAGTTCTCACAGCAGCTCCTGCAGGGTACAGTCTGGGTGCCTGAGACCCTCACACAGACACTTTAATCCTGAGTCCTGAAGGTTATCTGACAGACACATTTTAGTCAGAGATCGGTTTTTGATAATAACAGAGTGTAGATCCTCACAGCAGGATGAGGTCAGACCACAGCCTAACAACCTGCAGAGAGATGAGAGAAACACAACAGATAATGTGACCTGATCCATTACTTGCTATTACCCCTGTGCTAGGTAAATGTTTAACTATATAAACAGTAAATAATATCCATAGGAAAAAGTCTTTAGTATTTGTTGTCAGACACTAAATTCCCTATACCCCCTTCCTCCCTCCCCACCCCACGAAGATTAGAGCATGAGGAGGGAGGAAGTTAAATGGTTCAAAAGTTTTATTTCAACTGATAAACCCTCCAAATATTGATCTGAGAGGATTATTATATAATATAATTTACAGGTCTCACCACAGCTCCTGCAGGGTACAGTCTGGGTGCCTGAGACCCTCACACAGAAATTTTAATCCTGAGTCCTGCAGGTAATTCCCTCTCAGATGCAGTTTGGTCAGAGATCGGTTTGTGATAATAACAGAGCGTAGATCCTCACAGCAGGATGAGGTCAGACCACAGCACTGCAACCTGTAGAAAAATGAGAGAAACACAACAGATAATGGGATCTGATCCATTACTTGCCATTTCCTATTTTTTAACCATATAAACAGTAAAGAATATCCAAAGGGAGAGGTTGTTAGTAATTTTGTCAGTCACTAAATGTTTTGTTTCTCTCTCAGTTAGTGTTTTCCCCCAAGATAAGAGCAAGAGGAGAGATGCAATAAAAAATGGTATCGAAAGCTTTATCCCAGCTGTTAAACCCTCTCAATGTCCTGACCTGAGAGGATTCTTTTTTTAAAATTCTTTAATATTGAAATATGTAAAATACATGGTTTTGACAGTGAGACAGATAGATAAAATCACATTGCGTGTGACATATGTGGGATTTGTATGTGACAGGTATAAAACATTACATTGACTTGTTACAATTCTTACCACAGCTCCTGCAGGATACAGTCTGGGTGCCTGAGACCCTCACACAGACACTTAACTCCAGAGTCCTGCAGTTTATTCCCTGACAGATCCAGTTTGGTCAGAGATCGGTTTGTGATAACAACAGAGCATAGATCCTCACAGCAGGATGAGGTCAGACCACAGCCAAACAATCTGCAGAGAGATGAGAGAAACACAACAGATAATATGACCTGATCCATTACTTGCCATTACCCTTGTGCCAGGTAAATATTTAACCCAACGTTTCCCAATTGGTGTTCCGCGGAACCTTGGGTTCCCTGAGAACAAAATTGGCGTTTCTCTGTGATTCCCCACAAACAAGATGGCTGCCGCTACCTGCTATTCCCGGAAGGTAAGAAACAGCAAAGATTGCGAAACCACAATCTTATTAATGGATCATGGGAGCGCGATCATAAGCTCGCCCTGCAGTCAGCCTGCCCTACTGTCAGCCATTTTCTATCACTCGTGGTAGAGAGTGATAGAGAGTGGACCTGAAAGTGCAAGCTCTGTTAGGGACATTGAAAGGCTCTGTAAGGTAGGGAAATTGAAAGACTCTGTTAGGGACATCGAAAAAGTCTGCAAGGTAGGGACATTGAAATTCTCTGTCAGGGACATTGAAAGGCTCTGTTAGGTAGGGGCATTGAAAGGCGTTGTTAGGTAGGGACATTGAAAGACCCTGTTAGGGGCTGAAAACTGTTAACTGAAAAACTTTACTTGGGTTGGGCTTCTCATCCATGTTTTTTTCTTTGTTAAACTTATTGCATAACTATTTCAAAGTGTTCAAATCGTTTTGTTCCAAGACTGACTCAAAATCCTGCTTCAGTTAAGTTCTTCTGCATTTTTCCAAGTGTTTTGTTTTTTTACCAATAAACAATCATGGATTTGGACAGTTGGTTAAAGCATGGGACTATTCAGAGAGAATGAGTACTACTTCAAGCTGTTCAGCAATTATAGAAACTGAGAAAGAAGATTGAATAAAAACTAACTTTAAGGGCGAGTGTTGGATCATTAAAAATCAAAATAATTAATTGGATCATTAAAAAAATCAAATGATGATTTTAAACAATCTAGTATAAGATAAAATATAAACACAATAAAGAAAGTTCCAAAATGTAAGCTATTGTAATCATATTTTCTTGGATACAATTCTATGAATTTACATTCGTTTAAGTAGCAAAATTTCTAATTGCAATGTATCCATATCCAAAATACAATGTACTGACATGATCCCCTTAAGCATGTGTGCACTAATCCTCAAGGCACACTCCTGGGAGTAATCACAGAAATGGGTAAAACAAGGGGTTGTATAGAAAAAAGAAGGGAAAAAAGGAAACCAAAAAAAAAAGAAGTAACCCTAAGGCTACTCAGAATGGGCTACAGTGACGTGTCTTCGAGGGCACCCCATAAAAAATGTCTACCTCCCACCAGCTGTGTATACGTTAAGCTAAATCTAAATATAGAGGGCTACACTATACCCCACCCCTTGCCAAAAGATAGCAATTGTAGGATAATTGTAGGAAGTATAAAACAAAAGATGAGATGCCATCACAATCTCGATAGGAAAAAAATAACAAATAAAATAAAAATAAAAGTGTTGCCTGTCTCTTAAGGTCAGTATATAATACTAAAATCATCCCATATCTATAGTGCACCAACACAGAACCGTCCCGACGCGCGTTTCGCCATTAACTGGCTCTTCCAGGGCATACCCTTGTTTTACCCTTTTCTGTAATTACTCCCAGGAGTGTGCCTTGAGGATTAGTGTACACATGCTTAAGGGGACCATGTCAGTACATTGTATTTTGGATATGGATACATTGTAATTAGAAATTTCGTTATTTAAAAAGAGTATAAATTCATAGAATTGTATCCAAGAATATGTGATTACTATAGCTTACATTTTGGAACTTTCTATTTTGTGTTTATATTTTAAAATCATCATTTGATTTTGTAATGATCCAATTAAAAGTTATGTTTTAACTATTCTTACTTGCTGGGATGCTCTAGCCTTCATAGGGATTTTTGATGTCCTTTATCCCTATCCCTTTCTGTTCTGAGAAAGAAGGTATAACAAGAAATCAAGAAAACAGGTCCAAAATAGTTGAATCTACTGTTCCTCAAATAGCAGAGACTAGTGACAAGTTAAAGAAAAAAAGAAATCCATACAATGCTACCCAATCTTCTTCTCAAACAAAAAAAAACATGAGGCCAGTTACTTGTCATTTGGATTCACAAGTGCCAGAAATGAAGTTTTTCCCGAAGCACAATGCTTACTTTGTATGAAAATATTGGCAAACAGTTTATTTTTATCTCAGTGTTTTCCACTCAGATTAGAGCATGAGGAGTGAGTTAATGGTTCCCAAAGCTTTATCCCAGCTGTTAAACTCTCCATGTTCTGACCTGAGAGGATTATTATATAATTACTAGCACAGTTCTTACTCCAGCTCCTGCAGGGTACAGTCTGGGTGCCTGAGACCCTCACACAAATGTTTTAATCCCGAGTCCCGCAGGTTATCTGACAGATCCAGTTTAATCAGAGATCGGTTTGTGATAATAACAGAGCGAAGAACCTCACAGCAGGATGAGGTCAGACCACAGCGCTTCAATCTGTAGAGAGATAGGAGAAACACAACAGATAATGTGACTTGATCCGTTACTTGCCATTACCCTGTGCCAGGTACACATTTAACCCTATAAACAGTAAAAAATATCCAAAGAGAAAGGTTGTTAGTATTTGTTGTCAGTCACTAAATGCTTTACATAGAAACATAGAATGTGACGGCAGATGAGAACCATTCGGCCCATCTAGTCTGCCCAATTTTCTAAATACTTTCATTAGTCCTTAGCCTTATCTTATAGTTAGGACAGCCTTATGCCTCTCCCACGCATGCTTAAACTCCTTTACTGTGTTAACCTCTTTCTTTCTTTCTCTCTCGCTCACTTAGTGTTTTCCCCACAGATTAGAGCATGAGGAGGGAGCTAAATGGTTCCCAAAGCTTTATCCCAGCTTTTAAATCCTCTAAGGTCTCCTGATCTGAGAGGATTATTATATAATTAATAGTTCAGTTCTCACCGCATTTCCTGCAGGGTACAGTCTGCGTCCATGAGACCCTCACACAGACGCTTCAATCCTGAATCCTGCAGGTTAGTTCCTCTCAGATCCAGTTTGGTCAGAGATCGGCTTGTGATAATAACAGAGCAAAGATCCTCACAGCCGGATGAGGTCAGATCACAGCACCGCAACCTGCAGAGAGATGAGAGAAACACAACAGATAATGGGATCTGATCCATTACTTGCCATTTTCTATTTTCTAAGTCAAACTTGTCTTGCTGGAATTGCCCTATCCCGCGCAGTACATTATGTTGGTGCATTATAAATAGTAACCTGCGCTCTGTAAAAGTCATACAAAAAAACACCCATTGGTAATGAATTATATGCAGTGATGTATTTAACCTTTATGCTGCCCTAGGCCAAGCTAAGCATGTTACCCCACCCGACCCCACCTGCTACCACAGATTCCATTTGGAATTCCTCCCTGCATGTGTGTGTGATGGTATATGAATGTACAATGTGATAGAGCGGGCCATTAGCCCCATGTGACATGTAGCTGTGGGGGGGAGGGGCTTAGGTTCAGTTAGTTTTAGCAGGAAAATAGTCAGGTCTGTTAAAAAAGTGTGCACTTGTACACTTGAAGAAGCCTTTTGTGGCGAAACGTGTTTTGGTTTAATCTAAATAAAAGTGTTTTTTCTGACTATTTTAAATACTTTTATATTTATCCTTATTATTTTACCTGGCATATCCTAAACATCTGAAGCTTTTATACCATCCAAAGAATCCATGGTGGGGATCGTACCACCCAGGCGCTTTACACAGAGCAGTTTGTCTGCTCTGTAAATTGTAAGTACATCTCTTATTTTATCCAGCACTTTTTTAATATAGAGAGTACTATGGGCCTTCTCTTGTGTTTTTATTTCATATAACCTGCACTGAAAATCTCGTGAGAGGAATTTCCTACATGTGGGAAGTTTAAATACCACTGTATGCTGTTTTACTCGAGCTGGTTATAGCTCCCACAAATGTGAGTTGGCATTTCTTAATCTCAGTGTTGTCTGTAGCCATACTCCTTTACGTTACTGTACCATTGGTCCCCTCTGTATGTTTTTTTTTTCTCTTTCATATATGCTGATGAGAACTTGACCCAAGACGTCCTGAGAATTTAAGAAGAATATACCTGTGAATTAGAGACTTTAATTTGCCTGTTTCCCTGGTATTTTTTTTTTCCTATTATCCATTTTATTTATTTACTTTGTTCTTGGCGCACCCTGTAATTGTTGTTTCCTGTTTTTCCAATCCTTTGAAGAGTTTTGAGGGTTACCCTTCCTTTCAAGTGTGCAGCCTCCCCGTTGTGAGCAGTTTGTTCCATCCCTCTTATTTTTTTCTTAATTATTCAATATGTTTACACAGAGCAGTTTGTCTGCTCTGTAAATTGTAAGTACATCTCTTATTTTATCCAGCACTTTTTTAATATAGAGAGTACTATGGGCCTTCTCTTGTGTTTTTATTTCATATAACCTGCACTGAAAATCTCGTGAGAGGAATTTCCTACATGTGGGAAGTTTAAATACCACTGTATGCTGTTTTACTCGAGCTGGTTATAGCTCCCACAAATGTGAGTTGGCATTTCTTAATCTCAGTGTTGTCTGTAGCCATACTCCTTTACGTTACTGTACCATTGGTCCCCTCTGTATGTTTTTTTTTTCTCTTTCATATATGCTGATGAGAACTTGACCCAAGACGTCCTGAGAATTTAAGAAGAATATACCTGTGAATTAGAGACTTTAATTTGCCTGTTTCCCTGGTATTTTTTTTTTCCTATTATCCATTTTATTTATTTACTTTGTTCTTGGCGCACCCTGTAATTGTTGTTTCCTGTTTTTCCAATCCTTTGAAGAGTTTTGAGGGTTACCCTTCCTTTCAAGTGTGCAGCCTCCCCCTCCCCGTTGTGAGCAGTTTGTTCCATCCCTCTTATTTTTTTCTTAATTATTCAATATGTTGACACAGTTCTGGAGGCATACAAAAATCATGGGGGCTCTGCATGGAATACCTATGACGAGATGTTTCATCCTAATTTGTCATCGAGTATGAAAGAGGTGGGCTTGTGGGTGAGCATAATGATGCCACAAAGGTTTTCCTTTAACAGATTTAATATCAATACACAACAAAAAAGAGGCATCTGCTGGGCATTCAGTGAGGCCCAATGCAAATGGCCGAATAACTGTAAATATAATTATGAATGCACCCACTGCAGAGGGGCCCATCAACTTGTTCGCTGCTTCCGAAAAACTTATCCAAATCTCAGATCCCAGTTAGAGAGTCAACTCACAAAAGCTTTGACCCCAGTGAAATGGGAAAACATTTAAAATTGGTTAGAGATCGACCTCTAGTAGCTAGATTAAAAAAGAGCTAGAACTGAGTAGGATTGAAGGCCAATTTGATCTCCTCACCCTTTCTCTAAATTTAGATTGTTACCTTTAAGTCTAGTTCCTAAAAAGAAAAAGGGAAATATAGCCTAATTCACCACTTGTCCTATCCGTTGGGTTGTTCTTTAAATGATGACATCAATAAAGATGATTTTGTGTGACTTATGCTTCTTTTGATGATGCTGTTAACTGAGTAAGAGTTTGTGGCAAAGGTGTCCTGCTAGCAAAAATAGATGTGGAAGCTGCATTCAGACTATTGCCAATTATCTTTTAATTAATTAGGTTTTTAATTTGATGGAACTTTTTTTTTTAATTATAAATGTTTACCTATGGGTTGTTCCCTTTCATGTTTTTATTTAGAAAGTTTTTCTTCTTTTTTTGGAGTGGGCATTGAGCAAGGTATCAGCTATTGATTCAGTTATTCATTATTTCGATGATTTTTTGTTTATGGCCCAAGGGACACACAGGATTGCAAGAGGCTGCTAGATTATTTTATTGGTTAGGCAGGCTATTTTGGAGTTGCACTTGAGATTAAAAAACAATGGGTCCAACAACTGAGCTGCAGTTTCTTGGCATTGTGATTGATACAGTACAAATGGCGTTCCGTTTACCTTCTGAGAAAGTTACAAAATTGTTTAACATTTTAGATAAATTATGTCAGCAAGAAAAATTACAGTTAAAATGTTGCAATCCTTGCTTGGTTTATTGTCATTCAGTACAAGAGTTATCCCTATGGGAAGAGTGTTTAGTAGTAACCTAGCATTAGCACTTTGAGGAAAAAAATCTCCCCATTCGTGTGAACAAGGAGATGAAAGATGATCTTTGGGTATGGAAAGGTTTCAATGGCAGAACATTGTGGCAGGAAGATTTCAGGTCTAATGAAGAGTTGAGTATATTTGCAGATGCAGCCGGCTCAGCAGGAAACCCTGTTTCTTCTCTGGCCCTTCCAGCATCCTTCCGTATACCTAATACTTTTCATGTGTCCTTGCTCAAACCGCTTGTTTGCAATCGGTACGCTAGTCCTATTGTTCCACCTCCTTCTTTGATTGTTTCTGGACAGGAGGAGTATGAAGTCTCCTCCATCATTGATTCCAGGTTTTCTTGTGGTTCCTTACAATATTTGGTTTATTGGAGGGGGTATGAGCATTGTAGCGGAGAGTTGGTTTCTCACAGACTATCTCCGTTGGTAATCCAAGAGAGGCTCAGGAACAAGTTGTAAAACCCAAGAGAATAATATTCACGCTTAGTAAAGTAATCCAAAAGTATTCCATTAAGTTTCCCAATGTCTGGATGACACACAGCATCAGGAGCAAAACTGAACTTTTAATTCACACAACCTTCTTTTAAGCATTTCTCCCATGCAAGGGAGACACCCACAATAATTATTACAGTAACCAATCAGTTGCTCGTCACCTCCCACACATCTCCTCCCCTCAGTGTGACACATAATCCACTTATCCCTTACACAGTTTTACCCCGTTTCCAGATGTACCCCAAATTTGTCAGATATAGGTATGCAGTGGTAGCCCTGATCTGGGTGATCAACATATTCAAAAATCACCCAGATCGGACCAGGGGTTCAGGATTTAGGTGGAAGTGACAATTTTGACTGACAGCACACGAGGTGGTAGCCTTTGTTCGGGAGGTAAAACACATACAAATCTATGCCATCCAGAGCTGAGCTGGCGTTCGTATTAATCCCCTCGTTCGGGACATTCATTTCACCGAACGGGGACCCGGTTGGGTATTCCGTTCGTGAGTTATGGAGCTCTGGAGGTCTCCGCGGTGTTCAGGTATTCGAGTGTCCGATTTGAGTTCCAGACACTCGATGACCAAACACCGCTGAGCATTCATATGCAAGATGGCCCTGCCACGTTGTTCGTATGCCGAACAGTGGCCACCCAGATACACACAAAGTAACGATTTAATTACCAATTAGCCTGCAGTTACAGAACAGGAAATACTAAACGAGGGGCACACTTATCTCTGGGGTGGTCGGATGGTACGGTGTTTATATTCGTATGGTGAACAGAATGAAAATACCGAACAATCAAATGAATGCTATGTACAATACGAATATACCTAGCGGCATTTAACAAAAGCACATTGTAACATGAAATTTTGCAGACAGCCCAATGCAATGGCCTGCTGAACATTCATGGGTTTCGGCTTCTGATATCCATGCTGGCCGTAAAATTTGTTCTTTTTACACCAAGTTTCCTCTCGAACCTGGTCCTGCCAGCCCGGTGGGCATTCTTCAGGTGGGGGGTAATGTTACGTATTCATCCGCACATAAAAATGTGATTAATGGCATTTACTGCCCTGACAGGAAAAATCGTGCCAAGCAACAATCAAATCCACAGGAGGGTTTGTGCTGAGCAGCAATCTTGCAAATGGAAACCTGGTAATTGCTTTTGGGGTCAAAGGCCGGTTACAGACAATCAGATCCACAGGAGGGGTATTTAGGCCTAGTTCTCCTCTTGCTCAGTGCCCTGTTGTTGTGTCATGTGTATGGTTATCTGAGAGTCTGTTCCTGATCTTGATTTTCTGGTATTTGGCTTCCCTGATATCTGGTATCCTTGACTTCTGGCTTTCCCTCATCTTTGTGTCTGATTCTGTGTTCCTGACCTCGGCTTTCTTAGAGACGTTAAGTCCGGCCATTCTAAGGTCCAGTTATACGTTATCCTAGGTGTGACACAGTACTGCGTGCTGGATCAACTTGTAATCCTGACAGCTCTACACTATTACACTGTGCTACGCTAGTGGGGCTTGTCATTCTATTTCTGTGTCTAATTGTGGTTTCTTTTGTTGGATAATTCCAATCACAACTTGCTATATCCTTACTGTACCTGCCATTATCACACTACTCACCCTCTAACCTTAATGATCATCACAAATCATGTCCCCAATTGTTTAAAATACTTACTCAATTGATGAACAGTTGTGAAGTCCTGGAGCTAATGCTCTTAGTGTCTCGGGATTAAGTGAACATTTCTCCATAGAAAGGCTGTGAACACATTTGGTTTTTATCAAACAGTAAGACAGACATTGGTGTATTGAATTCTCTTCCATCTCCTCAATCCTCAGGTCTACCATTTGAGACATCATTCTTCTAACAAAGTCTTCATCCTGAGTCTCATACAAACAGTTCAGTATTTCATTATGATAATGTTTCACTTTATATTTTGTTACCAGTTCTTCCAAGACAGATTTAAATGCAGGATATACTTTACACTGAGTGATTTCACCGATCGTTGCTTTTAGTTTTTCATTGGCAAGTCCAAACAAGAATCGTACAGTTAATGTGAAGTGTGGCCTGACTTCTCCTTGTGAAGTAGTAAACTGCGAGACATCCCAACTTTCTGCCTCCTCGCTCAGTATATAATACAGAGCAGCAAAGAACTCCTGTACACTCAGATGTACAAAGCTGTAACAGGTTTGACTCTCAATGTCCCTTTGAAAGATGTTCTCATTCAGGAAGAGAGATGCAATGTCTGACACAGTAACTGCATGCTTTTCTAGGTCTTCTTCCTCAAAAATGATTTTCTGATTCCATACTCCTTCCTTGGCTAAAGCACCAAATTTCTTTATATAGGAGCTTATACATTGATTGGAGCTTCTACCATGGTACTTTATCAAACTCTTTAGATAAAGCACGTAAATAGAGGTGGTTGTGTTATTATTAATCAAGCTGAAATCCTTTTTAATTTGTTGTTTAAGAACAGTGCACACAATCCAGCATGTAATAGGGACAGTACACAATGTAAACAGAGTGTCATTTTGTTTCACTAAACTCAGAGCTTTATCTGCTTGTTGTTTACTTTCAAAGAAATTGGAGAAATATTTTTCCCGGTTTTCACCAGTAAATCCCATAATTTCTACATAACGGGACAATCTAATAATCTCCCTTAGTTTCTCTAGGGTATATGGTCTTGTGGTGATAATCAGTGAAGACTTTTCAAAAATCTGTTTTCTGAATAAAGAATTTAGAAGAATTTCTTTGGGAGTCTCTTGGATTGTATCTATGTTAATCTCTGCTTCATTCCCAAGGGGGAAATCCAATTCATCAAAACCATCAATTATAAAAAGGATTTTTTCAGCATCTTCAAAAATAGATTTAATCAGATTATGTTGGCATTGTAATCCGTTGCTCCTGGCTATATAAGTACCAATGCTTATATTATCTGTGAAGTGATTGATCTCCCTACAACTGATATAAAAGATAAAATGAAATCTGTCCTGATATAGATTTCCAAAGGCCCAGTCAAGCATGATCTTTTTAACAGTCATAGTTTTTCCAATCCCAGCCGGTCCTTGTAGGACCACAGTCGCAGGAGTGATTCCATCTTCACCAGGATCAAACAGAGCTTCCATAGTGGTTGGAGAATATTCCTCTAAAGATTTGTCCATTAGGTCTAGATGTTTTCTACCATAATATATTAATTCATGCGCTCTCTCCTCTTGATCACGGTGCTTTTTTATCATCCGTAGTCTCGTATATCTTCTGTTTAAAAGAACAGCTTCTCCCAAACGGGCATTTCTGTCTTCAAACTGTTGGTATTTATTCTTTATATTATCCATGTATTTTTTTCTGACAACTGTGAATGAGAGTGTTATATTAATTGTAATGTATAATACATAAATCATTGAGATCAGCTTGGCTTATAATACTTTTGTTGCCATGTTATGCATGTCGGATTGGAAAATTAAAATATAGAGGAAGCAAAAGTTGGATAGGGCGGGTTAAATAGGATCAGAGAGATGACTGGTTGAAGCAGCGGACATCGGGGACTATTAGGAAAGATGTGGACAAGTGACCAGGAGACGGCTGGAGAGATGGGGCAAGTGGCTTCTTGGGAGAGAATGAATGAGACACGTGAAATGGGAATGGAAGGACGGAAGGATGAAATAAATTATATGGTGAGAGAAGAGAAGACAACTGACGTGGGTAGAATTTATGAGGCAAGGATGAGGGGCAATTGTTTTAGAAGTGCGGTATGTATGAATGTATTGCTGAACTTATAAAACTCTAAAAAGGTTTATGCAATAAACACAAAACTGAGGAACCGCAACTAAGGCTGAAAAAACATTGGCCAAAATTACTGCAATGGAAAAAGATACAAATTTAGCTGGTTTTCCAACATGACTATTTTAGCCTAGAATTTTCAATTCAGTTTTAAATTCCCCATAAACCACAGTTTGATATATGAATTCCACAGTGATGTGCATATATGTCACAGAGCCCAGAAGATAATCAGCACACATTTTTAGCAAGTGTTATCACGGTAAAAAATGTGTATCTGTTTTTTTTTTTTTTCCCCTATATAAACACTGCTTGTACCATGGTTCAGTGCTCGATTGTTGAGACTGTTAATCTAATCTTCTCCCCATTAGCATTCCCTCCATCATAGGCGTGCGCAGCCTATTGCATTAGGGTGTGCACCCTAAAGCACAAGCACACGCCGCATATATATATGTATGTATGTATGTATGTATATATATATATATGTGTATGTATATATATATATATATATATATATACACATATATACACACATACACACACTGCTGTGTGTGTGTGTGCTGTGTGAGGGTGCTGTTAGTGTGATGTGTATGTGTGACGGTACTGGTAGTGTGCTATGTGGGTGAGGGTGTTTGTGTGTGCGTGCTTGTGAGGATGCTGTTAATGTACTGTGTGTGAGGGTGCTGTTTGTGTGTGCGTGTGCGCTTGTGAGGGTGCTGTTAATGTACTGTGTGTGAAGGTGCTGTTTGTGTGTGAGGGTACTGGTAGTGTGCTGTGTGTGTGTTAGTGTCCTGTGTATGTGTGAGGGTGCTTTTTGTGTGCTGTGTGTGAGGGTACTGTGTGTGAGAGTGCTGTATGTTTGTGAGGGTGCTGTATGTGTGTGTGTGTGGGTGCTGTATGTGTGTTGGTGCTGTGTATGTCTGTGGGTGCTGTGTATGTGTGTGGGTGCTGTATGTGTGTGGGTGCTGTGTATGTCTGTGGGTGCTGTGTATGTCTGTGGGTGCTGTGTATGTGTGTGGGTGCTGTATGTGTGTGTGGGTGCTGTGTATGTGTGTGTGGGTGTTGTATGTGTGTGTGGGTGCTGTATGTGTGTGTGGTGCTGGGTATGTGTGTGGGTGCTGTGTAATGTGCTGTGTATGTCTGTGTGTATGTGTGTGGGTGCTGTATGTCTGTGGGTGCTGTGTATGGGTGCTGTATGTGTGTGGTGCTGTGTATGTCTGTGGCTGCTGTGTATGTGTGGTGCTGTGTATGTCTGTGGGTGCTGTATATGTCTGTGGGTGCTGTGTATGTCTGTGGGTGCTGTATGTCTGTGGGTCTGCGCTGTATGTGCTGTATGTGTGGGTGCTGTGGTCTGTGGGTGCTGTATGTTGTCTGTGGGTGCTGTGTATGTCTGTGGGTGCTGTATGTGTGTGGGTGCTGTGTGGGTGCTGTATGTCTGTGGGTGCTGTGTATGTCTGTGGGTGCTGTATGTCTGTGGGTGCTGAATGTCTGTGGGTGCTGAATGTGTGTGGGTGCTGAATGTGTGTGGGTTCTGTGTATGTCTGTGGGTGCTGTATGTCTGTGGGTGCTGTGTATGTCTGTGGGTGCTGTATGTGTGTGGGTGCTGTATGTGTGTGGGTGTTGTATGTCTGTGGGTGCTGTATGTGTGCTGTATGTGTGTGTGCTGTATGTGGGTGGGTGATTGTGGGGGTGGAGGTGGGGGTACATTACTTGCTATCCCCCCTCCCTTCTTACCTTTTGTAGGGAGGGGGGATCCTTGTTGCTGCTGATTCCATCCCTGGTGGTCCAGTGGATGTGGGGCTAGAGTTCACTCTCGCGAGAGAAACCCTGCGGAGCTGCCGGCAATAGCTCCGCCGGTCCTCTCCTGCCTCCCTCCCTGCATGTGGGTCAGTGGGGAGGGAGGCTGAGAGCAGAGCCGGCGCTTGGATAGCACCGGCTCTGCATGAGCCGACAGGGGAGATCCTGAGATCTCCACTGCCGGTCTCAATATACATAGGCGTGTCGCGGGGATTAGGGTGTGCCCAGGCACACCCAGCACACCCCGTGCACACGCCTATGCCCTCCATCATGCCGAACCTACCTTTGCCCATGTTTCTTCAGTACGTGGAAATAACCGATTTTTTATTTCCTCGTATCTCATCTCCTTATTCCCAATCTCCCCATTTGGACTGAAAACCTGAACAACATCCTGGCTTGCATTAAATGCCTTATTTCTCTTCCAATCACCTTTAACTGTACCAAGACCGCAAATTGGATTGATTCTTAGCTAATAGACACAGAATGGTTATTACGTTTGCGAAGTATATTTTTTGACTGCTTATCTGGAAATGACCTGGACTAGCTCTTCCCACTGATGGAAAAACCCTGCTTGGAACACTGTTTCAGTACTCCCAGCAGGGTCCTAGTGTCCTGATCATTACATTATTATCATCTCCATTTATATATGCCAACAGATTCTGTAGCGCTTTACAATAACATGAGCACATCTAATAATGCTCTCGTGTATGCTTGCTGGGGACAGTTTCCTGGTATCCCCAAAAGCAGGACACCAGGGATTTAAGTCAGGACTGTCCTGATGAAATTGGGACGATTGGGAGGCCTAAAAATGGTAGGGAAGGATCAAAAAGCATCTGACACAGGATGTGAGGGAAACAGGAAGTACATTGGAAAAGATGGTAAATGTGTTGTTTTTTTTTTTGTTTTTTTTATATATTCCTCCTTTTCTTTTCTCCTCACTGCTGCACGGCTCGCTCAGAGCTCAGATGAAGGCGGGCACTGACAGCGAGATGCGGTCACGTGTCCCGCCTACCTCTAAGAGCGCGCCACGCGTCTCGGGCACGCTCTTAAAGGGACAGTGGGAGCCGAAATGTACAACGGTCTCCCATTGGCCCCTGTCATCCCACATTCCCCATACACTCACATTTTGGGGGCGTGGATATGACAGGGGCCAATCATATTAAAGGCTAGGGTATTTATACTTACCTCTCCCTTAACTCCCTGCCCTATCGTGGTTTCTGTTTATAATAACATAAATATACACACCAATCATATTTACATAACTTAACGCCTCCTGGTAGGGGTATACCCGGATACCCCTACCCCACCCAAGTTCCATACAAATGTATTGTCTCCTGGTAATACCCTTATCCCATCCAAATTCCATAACATGGAACTGCCTCCTGGTAGAGGGATACCCCTACCCCACCAAGATTCAAAGCCACCGCCGGGCTCGAACCCCCCCAACTTAAAACCAACATTATCACCAACCAACTTAAACCACTCAGGCAACAATGTCCTTAATTCCTCTGTGGTTTCCCCCTCCCCCCATGACTATTTATTCCTGTATATCCCCCAAACTACCCCGCCGCTGTGACAAAGCAGGGACAAAAGCACTCAACCCAAGGGAGGGAGGCAGGGGCCAACTCGAAACTGGTAGGGAAGTTAATGGTGACAGGAGCTAAAATGGCCGGCCTATTTATATTAGGCCGCTCCCCCAGTCAAACTTCAGAGCACACCCCTGTCAAGGCCCTATTCCACTTATGCTGCTCAAGTTCCCTGGGGCTACAGGATTACTGCAGCTAAAATTTCTACTCCAATAGTACAATAACATAAAATTATTTCAGTGACAGAAGCTCCCGTGTCACAGCCTGCTGGAGAGGCATAACAGCTAGCCTCCTGCCCACAGACTTTGGGCCTGGTCACAGACTTTAAAATCATATATAGGATATGAGGTTACATTGTGTTAATGTTGAGTTATTATGTAAAATGTTGAGCTGGATGAAAGCTATTGTGTTAATTGTATTATGTAAAAGCTATTGTGCTTTGTGTCATGTGGTCCAGCAGGAAATTAAGTTATGTTTAGGATTGGAAGATTGTGCTTGTCCCATTCTAAATGTGATAAAGGTGAAGCTTGAGTATTGATCTGTGGGTGGGTATTGATGTCCCTTTTGGATGTGCTATTGGAACACAAGGCTTGTTCATATCAAAGGACTCATTTTGAGGGAATCAAGACATATGGCAAATGAGTTAGTGTATACTGAAACCAGACTTCCAGGCCACGTGTGTGTGTGTGTGACTTCTCGCACCTTACAGAGTAGCTCTGTTGGGGTCCCTCCTTCGAAGAGGAATTTCAGTTGTGGGCTCTGACCTCCCATTCAGTCAGATTGACCTTTTTTTTTTTGTACCTAGGAGATAATTGAGTTTGTACAGTTCCTGACTCTATCACCCAGACACAGGGGAGGAGTTTGTGTGTAATTATATGGAGACCTGTGCTGGGGGTCTGTGTATAACTTGGCTGTATCATGTCCCATTAAAAACAGTACTCTTGTTTTACCCAATACGACTGGTCTTGTCCACTATATTGGGGAATTTTGCAGGGTTCCAGAGGGCTATAATCACTGTAACAATAAAAAACAACTTTCCAAAGATTGTGGCTGTCCAAGACTGGACGGTGCCACCTACTGGATGGAAAGTCACACCTTAAATGACACTCCAGTAGTGTCAGAGGGCATAACCCAAATTAATTTAATATTAAACAAAAAACTTCTCGTGACTGGTT